TTCCCGATTTGACCGATAGAGGAGCCAGAACGGTGAAGATGAAGTAAAAGGCGTTGGGAGTCGTGCGCGCTCGTACATTTTTCAGGTAATGTCAAATCATACCAACAATGGAGAATAATACAACCAGCTCTATTTTGATCTACAAACTCATAGCACTTGATATATGGCATTTTGTTGAGGCATTCGCCTGCTACAATTCTTAAAGTGCGAAGTTTTCTCGCAACTTGTTTCAAATATAAAAGTTCAGCACCAATAAGTTGATCATACTTTGTTCATCCTTTGAAATGCAAGGATTTATGAGACATGTTGAGCAGAATGATACTAAAAGAACAGATTAACTTCATTAGAAACTTTTACTGCCCTTATGCGAGATATGCCACTTCCTGGCTGATGATGACATGACCTATCGGGAGATCAGCACGCCTCCCGTAAAATGGCAGTCTACGTACGACCCTCTCCTCAAGGTTCCTAGGCTCCAGTACAAACCCCTTTCCATCAAACCCACCAACTCACCGAATTCTTCCCACTCTCTTCCATTTTACGAGATTCCACAAGCTCTCCCAAAAAAAAACTCCGAGAGAGCACCATTTCCAGGAACAGGGGTACAGCTCACGTGAAACGAAAAAATCAATAACCGAAAACCCCTCACTACCATTAACCCACATTCCAACGATGCTGTACCCTGGACGTCATAAGCGTACGGTATGAAGGCGAATTATGCCGTTCATGCACGCTTACTTTCGGCTGCGAGCTAATTTACGAAGTGCCTAGATCACCAAATCCGCTGAAAACTTGTGTACAGGGATAATTTACCATCCTTGTTAAGAAGACGACATTCAGTCCTAGCGCTGATGCTAATGGAGGACACCATGATTATCTGCACTCTGCTGAGGCTGAGCCCAAAAGATAATCGTTGTGCTCCATTAGGGCCACCACCGAGAATGAATGTCATTTTCGAAATCAGGATGTTACATTACCCCTGTATACCAGTTTTCAGCGGATTTGGTGATCTAGGCTTGCAAATGAGCTCGCAGCTAAAAGTAAGCGCGTCCAAACGGCATCAGCCTGTGAAGTATGAAGGCAGCCTTACGTCGCGCCACAAACGCAATGACACCGTTATTTGAAAAAAAGAGCTAAGTGGAAGTAACGAACATTATTCTGGAAGCACTCACATTTACTAGACCATAATAGTGTTCGTTCCCTGAATGGGGTTCCCCGTTGATCTCACGCTCCAGTTGTGAGGATGAGTTGGCACCCTGAACAAACATGTTTGGAACATAACACCATTCACACCAAACTTGAACACCAATAAACTCTCATCGTAAAAAAAAATTTAACGTACCATTGGATTGAATATCCAACCACAGGGATGTCCGAAACGATGTAGCCAGTGAGTAATTCTGATTAATGATTCTTCTAGCAGTGCAAACAAAATGAATCTATATCAAGGTAATTAGGACAAAGTGATCTGAAATAAAGGACCACTGTAAAACAAATTACATAGCTAAATGAGCGCTTTTACAACAGAAGGAAACGACAAGAAAACAAATGCAAATATCCTGAAAAAAAAGTGTAGCCTTTGATATTGGGAGATTACAGAAACATTCAAATGCCCACTCCAAGCCGTATCCGCTTGAAGTTATTTGCAATAACAACAGGAATGAACACCAAGGACCAAACCTAATGAAAGCGCCACTTTCGAGGCGCGAGATTAGCCTTTGACGTCCGGTCGTGGGCAGCTGCGTGCAATTACGGTGGACACACATCAAAACTGTTCAGGCATTGTTCACACTCTGCGGTCCAGCGTTTCTCTGAAACGCGGCGGTTCGGCGAAAAGCTTTCGATACATATCGACTGGCGGTTGGGCGAAGAGCCTGGCGGTTGGGCGAAAGGGTTTTGGTACGTATCGACGGGCGTTTCGCCAAACCGCGACGTTTTTCGCCTTCGACAAAACGCTAGCTCCATCGCGGTGGCGTTTTTCGCCAGCGAAATCGATACACATCTACTGCTTTTCGCCCAACCGCCCAACCGCGGCGGTTGGACGGTTGGGCGGTTGGGCGATTCTCCGATCGATGACTATTTATTGCTTTTCTCCCAACCGCCGTTTCGTCAGGGCCTGGAGACTGTGAACAAGGTTTTGTTATGACTTTTTGTCACCAAGTTAAAACGTGTGAGTGCTGATAGGCTACGGCATAAAAGCCGTTAAGCTGAGAGGGTAAAAGCGGCCCTGGTGGCGTAACGGATAG